TGGACCGTCGAAAAGGTGGGGTAAATGTTGCTGACAATAGTAGGGAGGAAGAAGGCCAGGCCCTGCACCGTGATGTTGTTGAAGAGGAAGATTACGGCGATCTCGAGGGTGACGGGGTTGAGCATGCCGCGCTTCAGCTTCGTCTTGTCAATCTTGTCAATCACCTCTGTTGCGCCGACGCGCTCCGACTTCACGCGGGCGATGCAGAGGTCCTTCTCCTCTTGTGTCAACCACTTTGCCGTCTCGGGCCTGTCGGTAAGGGTCCAGAAGGAGATGATGGCCAAAACGACGGTGACGATGCCCTCGATGGCGAAGATCATACGCCAGCGGTGAAGACTGCCAAAGGAGTCGAGTGTGAGGATCGCGGATGCGAGCAGGCCGCCGAACGCGCCGGCGAGGGGTGCCATGACCATGTAGAGCGACAGGCGGAAGGTCAGCTCGGCGCGCTGGTACCATCTGGAGAGGTAGTATGCGATGCCGGGAAGCATGCCGGCCTCGAAGATGCCGAGGAGGAAGCGGACGCCGCAGATGGCGGCGCGGTCCTGGGCGAAGGCGGTGCAGATGGAGACGATGCCGAAGAAGAGGGTAGTGATGGGGATGAACCAGCCGGGGCCCATTGCTTTGCAGGCGATTGTGGCGGGGATCTCGAAGAGGATGTAGGAGATGTAGAAGACGGAGAGGATCATGTTGTAGTCGTAGCCTTTGAGTTCGAGGTCTTTGTCGAGGCCGGCGATTCTTGCGTTACCTGCGGATGGGGTGTAAGTAAACACAGGCCCAGTTGTGGCAGGATGGAATTCGATGGTATGACTTACCAATGTTGGCACGGTCGATGAAGCAGAAGAGATACAGCATTGCCACGGTAGGAATGGTGTGCAAGTCGAGCTTCCATCGTAGCTTTCGTACCGCTACGGGGTCGAACTCGACGAGAGAGTGGCCATATCTGTTGAGGCGTAGTTAGTATCGAGGGCGATAGGAATTGGAAGCGAACGTGAGGCTACTAACTTATCGGTAGCAAGCTGGCCCTTTCCAGCTGCGTTGTGGATACTGTCATGGACGGGAGCAGCACTGATGGCGTGGTCCTCAGTGCCCTCGACGTGAGTGCCCTGCGGGACTTCCTTCACGGTGGACATGATGAAGGTTGAGATATCCACTAGTTCAGGCAATATCTTCTTGAACTCGAGAGAAGGTAAAGTGAACCTCTAAGCGACTCTTCCAAGCTTGCTGTTTGAAGCTCAGAGTGCGTTTCTGAGATACTGGCCTACAGTCATCAAAGTCAGACCGGATACTCGAGGAATGAGTTGCCAACACCTACTGAGAAGAGGATCGTGGTCGTCTATTTAAGTCCAACAGTACCTCGTAGACGTTGGCAGAGAATACACCCTGGTTAAAATGCCGTACCCATGTCCCTAGCTCAACCCCCAAGCATCCTAAGCATTTACCGGGCACCACTCTATTGGGGACCAGAGCTGCATCTTTGGCATTGCCGCACCCTCCATGTTCAGGGCTCCATCAGAGTGGGATTGCCTGCGGGGTAGGGATACGCCATCCATCGAGGTTGTATTGGACGCATTTTTTCCTGAGAAGATTGTGACTTTCTCCTCCAATTGTGGACTGGGTTGTATCAAAGATGCCGGGACACGACCATTGCAGCGTCGATGCGGGAGATCAGCACTGCTATGATGGCATCAAGCAGATAGTCTTTGAAGCTCACTTAGAACACCACGAACGAGACAGATACGAAGATTTCGAAAACTCATCGTTCTCGAGTAATGTTTGTCTGCCGAGTCTCAATCTCCAAATGAACTCCGCCTGGAGATGATTCCCCCAGGTTCTCCGCCCTGCCCGCCCCCGCAATCCTGGGGAAGACATCCACTTTGGCTCGTCGGAGGCTCCACGTGCAGGTCCCGACTCGCTCAGTAGAGCCAATGAGGCCTGTTGAGTTGCAATCTCGAGGGGTGTCAACAGTGCCAAGAAAGCTAGGGCATTTTGTCTTCGGCAACTGGGCTCGGCAAGTAAGGTTGAACGGCCAGCGTACGCGTAGAGTCGTAGACTCAACGCACTGCTGCAACGTGATGCGGAGCCTCTAGCGCACTTCAAAACCTTGCTCTCCGAGAAACCGAGCCTTCCGCAACAGTGTCGGTCTGTGGAAACTGGAAAAGAAACTCGGAACGGGAGCCGTTGGTTTACTCGAGCGAGTCAAGGATACTGAGTAAAGTGAGTGGAATGCCAGCCGCCCTCATTGGTGTTGGTTACGCGGAAGCTTGAAACGAAAGGGCTGTCAGTCCATCAGGTTGGGATAGACTACTATCCCGCCGGCCTAACTTAGTTCTGGATATTTGCGTCTAAGACTCGAATAGACTCGAAGAGGCTCCTTTTCAGCCCTTCATTGATCACGAGGTCAAGTCTCAATGTTCGGCAGATCGAATGTTCGAATTCCAGGAGGCCACCACGAGAATGAACATCTGGACGGAGATGGTGCTCCTAGGCTGAACGTTCGTCCAGTGTCGGTGATCATCGAAAGTCAATGTCCTTTCAATTCTGTTCGTCCCATGTTCGGTTGTATGGCAGCGGCGCAGGGCCGGGAAACCATTTTACCGGCACAGCCATGGAAACTTTGACATTCCCTTGGTTCAGCTCGACTGGAAGTTGCAGTAACTAAATGCATGAGTATCTGTAAGGGCGACGCCATAAGATTGATGTATTGGGTGCCTGCAACGCAACCAACAGGCGCTAGAGCAGTTGATGATAACCGCGGGTACTCATGTTGCCGTCGGTTTGATCGTGCTGGCAGATCGTCTCTGCAATCCACCCGCGGTAAAACATGTCGATAACCCGAGGTTACTCTGCAGTCGGACACTGCAGACGCTGCAGAGAGGTGGACGAGGCGTGAAACAATAACCTCGGTGGAACTTGCAGGTCAGCCACCCACACCGTACGGATACACAGAAGCCCTCTGAGACATGACACTGGCCATGTGGCATTGTGGGACAGGAACGATCTTGGCGCGGCGGGCGGCTTCTGCGGCTTTGGTGGTGAAGGGCTGCATCTTCGGCCGAGAGATGGAGGTCGTACTACTCAGTACTGCCGTGCTCCGTGAGGATACTCCGTTCACGCAGACGTAGCAGACGTACCTAGTGCATTGCGTTGAGACTCCAGAGATATCGAATCTCGACTGCAGCACCTGCACAGCGGAACAAGGTGTCGCATGCAGCTGCCCGAAAGGGGCTGACTCGGTGACAAATGCGCTCCGCTGTGATGCGACCTCAACAGCAGCGCCGCTTGGCGATGACCAAGGTCGACTCGGTCCTCCGCCGCTTCTTGGTAAGCATAAATACCACCGAAGAGACGATTCGGAACTTTATTGTCCCTTCGCATAGTGGTTGGGAGAAAAGAGGTGACCAGAAACGGTTATATGTGACCGTGTGCCTCGAATACTGCCCATGATTTGTTCTCAGCAGGCGACCGGGAATCGCATATCACCATATGCTATGGAAAGTCAAACTTGCTTGTTCGCAATGCCGTAAGTAATTCCGACGTGGTCATTTGGGTGATGTTCCGGGAGCACGATGGCGATTCCGAAGGCCAGCTTTGTCGAGCGTCGTTGCAAGATGCAGCAGTCAGCGGCGTCCACAATGTGAGACATTCATTGAACGTCCACTGGCGGCGACGCGTCAAGAAAGCCAAGCTTCTGAAGAAGTCGACAAGCTCATTGTCGATCGAAAACACACAAAGAAGAGGTTCGAAGCCGTTCGCGGCGACGACGCCCGCTGCCTCACCCAGCGCCCCTCCCAGAGTTCAACAGCCCAAACTCAAGATGGCGGTCAGTGGTGCCGCGATGGTGGAACCTGGCGCTTCTGGGAGGCTTAGTCGGGGCCGAAGGAAGACGATCCGAGTTTGCTAGGTCGTCACCGTCGTGTCCGGACATGGCCGTCGTCTCAGACCCTGAACTGGGATGCCCCGAGACTTGAAAGACTCCTGGCAAAAGTGAAGATCGTGGAAGATCAGGGGGTGTTTTGTTGTCGCTGCCAGCTGGGAATGGCTTCAAGGGGACGACATTGTGGTATTCAGCTGCCAAAGTGGAAAAAGAGCTGAAAGACTGTGGATAGCTAGGGGGAGCTTGGGTGCCATTGTGCCACTACCAGCTCTTGGGAATGTCTCGGAAACCCTGTCGTTCTTGTTTGACGGTGTTTGCTGACAGCCAGAAACTCAGGGATGAACAGGACGGATGAACAGCGACGGCGGAGAGCGGAGGGAGCTGGTGGGGGAGCCCCGTCCGCCGATGAACCTGAGAGGAACCAGAGAGGTACGACAGCGAATCAGAGATGAGTAATCGTAAAAAATGCTTACCTAAGTCGGCAACGGAAGCCAGACACTCCGGACCACAGTCAAACGTCTCTCATTGGCTGATACGCATGAATGGAGCTGCTCTAGTGATCCTTCGCCTCGCTTAGCCCGAATTTAGCGGGCTTCTGTCACTACGAAGTTCCCTGAGAACGCTGGCTGTGCCGAGTTTAGGCTTCCAAAGTTCACTGAGCCCGCCTGCACTCCCTGTCTCAACGATGGGACGGCACCTAAAAATGCCCCCCAAAAGACCCAAAGGCACAAAATAAACCGTGGCGCCGGAGACGGATCCTCAGCACCCGTGGATCTCACGCCCGTCCCAATCCCCAGGAAGCCTCCAGCTGCCCCTCCCGAACGCCCAGATGACGTGAGATGCCCACCAGACCATCCCACGCATCCAAGCACATCCCAGCGAACCTGCATGTGGTTTTGCGTTTCCCACCAAGCACCACGCACCAAGCGACCCCAAGCACCGCAGCCATGCTTTTTGCGAATATCCATTCTCAACTCGGAGCTAGCGAGTGGAAGGGTCCCGGGGGCTGAGGTCTTGCGCTACCATGGCTTGGCTTTACCTTAAGCAGGTTGGCTTTCTTCTTGACCACCATCCTTCGCGCGGCGCACCTCCGTCAGTGTCAGCACCAAGAAGTTTTTTGTTGCTTGGGTTCGTCAGCTTTTACTTCTCCTTACTTTGGCACATGTCCCCCAGTCGTCTGACAGAAGCCAGCTTTTCGACCAAACATCTACACCATTGAATCCTTACGACTCACAGTATCGCAATCGCATCGAGCCTCCGAATCGACGATAACTTCGAGATACCCCAGAGACACCCTACCTAAGATACCCAAGAGAGCGACGGCATAAACCGCACAGATGCTTCGCAAGAAAGAGGTCTACACGACCGTCACCCCAATCCCGGGCTTCATCCCCCGCCAACTCGGCATCGATATCCTCCACTCCCACTCCGAGGTCATCACCCTCAACCCCCTCGTCCTCGACCACAAGCCCATCAAGGCGCCCCGCGATGCCGCCTCCGACGAGTACTACTCGACATGGTACGAAATCACTGAGCGCATTCAGTACATCCCCGGCATCGGCAAGATGGGTTCCGGCAAGATCAGCTTCAACGGCTGCTTCCACGATATGCCCTGGGGCTTGCAGACACATACCTACGCGCCCATGAACATCGACATCCGGATCAAGTACAGAATCGACGGCAACCAGCCCGGTATCGAACCGCCCCAGCCGCCCGAAATCGGCATGTCCGGGCTCGGTGTCCCAGCTGACGGACTGTACTTGCGCGAGGATATCGAGATCCGCTGCAACATCACCATGGTCAACTTCGTCAAGGCGCAGCTCAAGACGGCGAGCAAGGAAATGGTCTCAAGAATCATCAAAAAGGCGGAACTCCTCGATGCGGGCGTGCTGCAGGCCATGATCACAGACGGGAAACTCAAGACCATTAACCCGGCCGACCGCACTAGCACAGGCATGTCCGGTGCGCATTCCCCGTCATTCAACCAACGCCCCGACGGCAGCCCGAGACCGGAATCTAAGTCGCCGACAACACCTTACCAAGTCCCAAGACCGGTATCGATGCAACAGTTCCGCCCCAGCTCGCAGGGCAGCTATGGCGCACACCAGAACCAACCCTCGAAGCTCTACTCCCAGCACAGCGCACCAGCTCAAACATCCTTCATCGCCGAACTCCCCGGAAACTTCTACCACCCGCAGCAATCCTCTAACAACCTTCAACCCCCGCAGCCTTCCCCGGGCCTACAGGGCGATCGCGACTCCATGTCGCAACAATCACAACTGTCCCCCGACCCAAACTCATGGCGCTGGTCCCAGGGCCAACCGAGCCCGTCGCAACAGAGCTCCCGGCCGACGAGCATGGCGTCGTCCGAGGCGAGCAGCGGGTACGCCAGCCCAGCGCTCGATCACAAGGGTTTCTCGTCCGAGTTGCCCACGCACTCGGAGACGCAGGAGGAGCACCGCGGGGATGCTCATGCCAAGGCGGCGGAGGCGGCGCAGCATAGGGTCAAGGGCCCGCAGGCGTATCCGAGCTACGGGCAGGCTTATGCTTATAATCCTGCAGATTATGCGCCGATGAGCAGATGATGAGGACCACTTTCGCCAAATGAAATTTGCCGGTGTGTGGTAATGTCAGGAGTTCCGGAATGCAATGAGCGAGGATGGGGCTTGGTTTGGCAAACACTTTCTTTCAATGATACCGCTTTGTTTGGGGATGAGATATTATGTTGTTGTATTTATGGGAGATATCAACTGGCCAAGATCAGGCCACCCAGAAAAGGAGTTTCATCTCTTCAATCTACTTTATAATGTTATTCTATGATTTTACTGCCTACATGGCCTGAGTGTGTCCGTTTCGGTCTGATAGTTCTTCCCGTCTTGTGTTACGGCTGGAGGATTTGTCTGGTAGTAAATCTACTTCTGTTGATGTCTTACACTGTGAAAGTACTATAACGAACAGCATTTCCATCAAGTGCCTACCGTAAGCAATGTTGTTACTGTCTAATTTGATGTAGATCCTATCATTGTTCCAGACAGAAAATTCTCACCGCGTTTGACGAACGTTCCAACGAGTTGCAGCACAGTACTTGGGTTATCTTAATCCGTCACTCGACTCTTACATTTCAAAACGATGGAAATGATTCAAAGTCGAGGTTCTCCTTTTCAGCCCACATATATTTGTTATTTTCTCTGCCCTATTGCTCAGCCCACATATATAACGGATAACTTTTACAAAAATAGTGTTGTGATTGATAAGGTAGACAAAAAGGTCAGGAGACTAAAATATCTCGGAAGAGGCCCAGAAAGCGATTGTTTGGCCATCAATAGCGAACAAGAGGAGCAGGAACACGATCTTATCCAAACCCCTATGTTTTTCTTGCATATTTGGACCAAAAACATAGTAGTAAAGTGGTTGCATAGAAATTATTCGGCGACGGGTTGCTTTAGACGATAACATGCCCTGACCTTACTTCGGACTGCCTGGAGCAACGAGTTCATACATCTCGTCCACAATTAGTAGGTTACCTGAGAAGCCACATATACATCATAGTCTGTGAACAGGATCTACCTACTCGAGGGTGTTTCTGCAATCAAGGTTGGAGGGGAAACAAGAGAGGAGCCGGTGATTGACGCGATGCCAGCTTGCTTGTACATTCCACTCTGCGGTCTCATTCTTAGGAGAGGAATTAACGGATGGCCGGTGTTATCTGTTATTGGAAATCTCCCCTAGTTTTCTAAAGAGAATCTTCTCCCCCATAGCCCAGACCATCCGTCCATCATGCCGGCAAAGCCCAGTTGAATCAATACGTACTTTGAAGTCAAATCGTTCCATTGATACCAGGTGAGAACCGTCATAGCTACGAGCAAATAAAAGAGCACGGCGTATAATACATAACAAATCCTCAAAATTGTCCAGCCCAACTCTCCCATCTCAGATATCTCTTTTTCGAAGCAAGTCTCAGCTTTGTCGCTTTCACCACGATCTTGCTGTTGAGCTGTTGTATCTAGCATCCGCCATCACAAATATACCACGAGGATCCATCGTCGTTACCACGTCTTCATACAAGAGACTTGCGAGGACGGCCGCGGCCACGCTTCTTGGGAGGCTCTTCGTCTGCCTCAGACTGCTCCTTGGCAGCAGGCTCAGGCTTGTCATCTGCAACGGCTACTTCTTCCGCCTTCTCAGGCTGTGGCTCCTCGGCTTCGACTTCTTCACGCTTCTGCTTACGTCCGGGTCTAGCTCTCGGCTTGGGCTCCTTGGTAGCCTCCTTCAAGACCTCAATCTCGACATCTGACTCGGCAGCATTGTTCTTGCGAGGGCGGCCGCGTCCTTTCTTGACAGGCATGGCGACGGCCTTGATGCACTTCTCGCGTCCGCCCTTGGACTTCCAATAGTTCTCAACATGCTGGCGAGCATACACTTCAACCTGCTTCTCGGGCTCCCATGATCGCTCAGGCGAACCAATCCAGCAAACGTAGAGCTGGACTGCGCCAGAAGGCTTTTGCTTGTGCTTCTCGACCCTGAGGGCGTGCCATAGGTTCTTGTCGACCATGGCACCTAGCCTGCCACCCTTGAGGCTGTCCCAGTAGGCAAAGAGTGCTTCCTCGGCATCCTCGTGAATGGTCTGTTCAGTTTCCCACGTGGGATCGTCGTGCTTCCAATTGATGTGCATTTGGAAGAGGGTCTTGTCGTTAGGGTCACGGCGGTGTCCAAGGATCTTGTCGAATACGAAAATGCCGTTCTTGGGATCGTCCATCTCCACGTCCTCGTTGTCCGCAGCATTCGAAGCGGCATTCTCGGTAGGAGCAGCCTCCACAGTGTCGGCGTTGTCAGTAGACGTGGCAACGTTGATCTCAGCATCCTCTGCGGCAGGAGAAGCCACTGGAACGAGTCAGTGTTAATTCCTGTCAAAAGTAAGTACATATAGCTTACCTTGAACTGCCTCCTTGACGGGGCTCTTTGCGCGAATCTCCTCGGCCTCAACTTCAGCTTCGAACTGATTTCCGAGCTGGATAGTGGTGTTGCCTTCAGTGCCATTGGCAGCCTCGATTTCTTCGTCGGCCTCCTTATCGACGGAAGTCGGGCTCTCCTCTACATCGGGTTCTCTGGTCCGCTTGCGGCTCACAATGGTCTGTTCGAAAGATGATGTGACAGTTGTTGTGCCAGTGCGCTGCCCAGTTATGTTGTTGACCACGCTGGAAAGTGTCTTGCGAACGGAGGACACAACGCCAGTCCGGGGCGCACTAGGTTCCGGTGTAGAACCGGAGGCTTCAGCGTCGGGAGTAGCCTCCATGGCAGTGACTGGGGCAGTGGACGAGGTCGGCTCTGGGGTCTCGATGGGAGCAGCGGCAGTAACGGTATCGGCGGGCGTGCTACGGTCGGCAGTATCCACGTCGTCGGCGGTATCGCTCAAAGCCTTGCGCGGGGAAGGGCTCACTGGCAGACGGTGAGAAGGATTTTGCGAAGGCGGCGAACGGGATCGCGAAGCATCCGAACGGGGAGTTCCAGTAGGCGCAAGGCTCTTGATGCGCTTATTCGGATGCGGCGACTGTGAACCGGAGGGTTTACCAGGTGATGAGAGGAAGGTATTGAATGCGCCGTTCTTCGTGGTCTGAGCTTTCTTGACCGACTGGGTGCCATTAGACGGTGCGGGAGATTCGGCCAATCGAGCCATGATGGAGGGATTTGATTTGGAAGATATCGGGTGACGGTCGAGGCGTTTGCGCGCTCGGATGGCGTGGATCGTTGGCTTGCGCCAGTCGAAATCGTTCAGTATCAATGACGATTGTTGGGTTGGAAAGCCAATCGATTCGCAAAAATGGAGGAGTATGAACGGGGAGAGATTGCAGCCAATTGTGCGGTTCGAAAAGCAGAGTGATTGACTCGGCGACGTTTTTGAGGTGAAATGAGAAGAAGACGAGGCGTGCGATGCTGGGCAGCTTCGGTCGCGGGAGGAGCTTTGGCCTTTGGTTTCTGCTCTGTTGAGTGCAGGTGCGGGTGCTCTCTCCACAGTCGTTCCTGCTCCCATCCGGGCGGTGCTGCTGACGTAAGAGGATCAAGCTATTAAGTTCGGTGCGGAAACTACCTACGACCGGGAACTTCAAGGAAGGTGCCTTACGCGACGCGATGATAGTGGGGCTTTCGGCCATTGGCTTCCACGGATTCCATGTTAGTAACGCCAGAAGAAGACTAGCGCACGTGATCTCTCCACCCATCCTTCCTGTCGGGTCCAAAATGCAAGCAGTGTTCGCATCGTTGCGGGAAGGTGCGGTGGGTGAAGCGAGAAGTATCTGGGGAAGGAAGTTGTGGGAGCACTGTTGGTTCGGAAGGCACCATGAACTTCTATGACAATCCTTCCTTTCTTTTATATCCTTCATAGAATCCTTTATCACAAAGCGAGGTAGCAAGTGGAAGACATGTATAGTAGAAAGTGGCTTTATTCCTCTAAGTGGAAGATCCGTATGAGGGTCATATCTATATACCGTACAAGACGGGTAATCGGCTTGTGGAAAGCGGTATCGTACGGCAGTAACCGGCAGCGCCACGTGTGGCGCTGCGACATCCCTACAAACGTATTCATCTCCTGCGAACTCATGGCTTCTTGTTTCAATCCGAAGCTCCAACATGCACAGCGGTCTTCCACGGCGACAAACGCGGCTTTCACTGCATGCATCCAGGCAAGCAACATTGTACTAGCTGCAGTAGCAGGCAGCATAATCGTTGGCTTCGAGCCGAATCTCCTTGATAGCTTCGCCGTAAACTTTTCCAGCCTCATCTCTGCATTTCGCTGCGTTGACTCTTCCCTCCTCTGCATCACACTGAACTGCAGATTACCCAAATAGCAAGGATGGCAGGGACCTCAGGCCAAGTCCACATGCTCGGCGCACTACCATCATTCGACCCACCTCATTCAATGATGCAATTTCGACATTGAGGCCAGCCTCCCCATCCTCCCGATGCAGCAATAGAAGAACATCAGGTTGCCGCGATATCCTTGGTCAAGGCATGCTTTCTCGTCTTGCAGGTCTCTGGCGTCTGATGACATGGATGCGGAAGGCTCAGACGCGCCAATCTGCAATTACGTGCCATCAGCCGCGTGACTGTCGCAAAATCTTCGGTATACCAGCATGGAATTGGCTCCATGGTCCTCTGCAGAGCGGCGCAGTGGGTGATCCTTGTCGCTGAACTGCTGCAACCCTACTTACACACGGCGGGCTTCATCCTTTCTGCGGCTGCCTCTCCGCCATTCAGATCAGTGGCTTTCAACAGGGTGGGTGGGTGCAGTGAGGCAGCTCGAATGGGCTGTGTTCAGGTTGAACTGATATGAACGAACCATTTCCCATCGGATCTCCAGGCTCTTGATGCGAAATAACTCGACAACACATTGACATACTCGCGAATCCAAGGAGATACGATGGAAGCAGTAGGCGCAATCGCTGCCATCTTGCAGCTGATTGATGTGGCACTCAAGACCGCCATCAGAGCACACAAGATCTACGAAGAGTTCAGGGATGCCGAGGACACCCATAAACGATTGGTTAGGGAAATGCACGATCTCGTTCGTGTCCTCCAGCAGCTGCTGGCTGTAATCATGGACAGCGGTCCCGATGAACCGAAGACCGGACACGCTCAAACTCTGCGAGAAATGTTGAATGCCGAAGGCAACATTGTGGCGTTTTGCGCAGGGGATATTATCGAGATCTCCAGGCTTCTAGAAAAGGGCCCGTCGATTGCATGGCCAATCCGGAAGAGAAAGATTGATCGGATACTCTCTAATATCGCATCAACTAGAGCACAGCTTGGTCTTGCTGTCCAGACGCAATCAATGTAAGAGCTCGGTATGGAATAGACAACTGTTGCAGATCTGACAGAATTAGGGCCACCGTTTTGGATATCCGTTGCATGCTGGACAGGCATGAGTCTTACATGAGGCAACACCTCGAGTCTGAGTCGATCAAGGCCATTTTCGCATGGCTGAATCCACCCAACGTCTGGGAGAACTTGCGAAATGCCCTGCAAAGACGCCAACATGGTACAGGCGAATGGCTTGCGAAGATGCGCGAATATGAACACTGGAAAGGAAATCCGGGTAGTTTATGGTTGTCCGGCATGCCGGGAGCCGGAAAGACCATCATGAGCTCAACTATAGTGACCTCTTTGCTGAAAGAAAATCAAACAACCGCGGCAGCTGTTATTTACTCGTACTTTGACTTCTCTAACGAGTCGCAGCAAGAAGCTCAGTCGTTTCTACGAACGTGTCTCGCACAACTTGCAGCCAAGACACCTGAGGCCTTCAATATTCTCCTCGGTCTCCGAAATCGATGCTCGGAAGCCCAGGGTCAACAGCCCGGACTTGAGGAGCTTCTCGAAGCGACGGCGGTCGCTTTGGGGTGCTCCCACCAAGTTTTCCTCGTAGTCGATGCACTCGACGAGTGTTCGGAACGTGGCAAGTTGCTGAACATGCTCAAAGAACTGCAGTCGTTACACAATCTTCACCTGGTCCTCCTGAGCCGCCGAGAACACGATATCGAAAAGGCTCTATCAGCTTCCGCAACGGAGATACCATTGCGTGGCGCTCATATTGATCAGGATATTGCAGCGTACATTCGACAAAGAATACAGCACTCGGGTGAAATGCAAGAATGGACTGTGGAAGATAGGGCTAAAGTTGAAGCCCAGTTGATTGAAATGGCCGGTGGAATGTGAGTTCCCTTTCTTTGCTGCCTATGAGAAGTCACACCGCAGCTAACCTGAGATGATGTCAAGGTTTCGCTGGGTGCAGTGCCAACTGGACTCCTTGGAGAAGTGTATTGATTCTAATCAAGTCGACGAGACCCTCGCCTCTTTGCCCCCGGACTTGCCGTCGACGTATGAAAGAATACTCATCAATCTGGATCCCAAGTCGGCGGTTCGCGTTCGAGACGTCCTGGTAGCCCTGGCCTTTTCTCGAAGACCACTGCACGTTGGCGAAGTTATGGATATTGTAAGCATATCCATCACCGACGATCCTCGAGCGACGAAGAATGGAAACACTGTCTACTTCAATCAGCTGCTATCTGTCTGCTCGAGCATGCTGTCAATCTCCACCAGTGGTGGCGGCGAGAAGAAGAAGCAGGAGATGATGCTTGCCCATGCCTCGGTCAAGGACTATCTCGTCTCTGAACATATACGCAATGGACCAGCATCCGCATTTTACACGACACCTGCACAGGGACACCTGCTCATGGCCGCCAAAAGCGTTGCGTGTCTACTGAATCAGAACGATGTCAGCCGCTTCGGGCCACACACCTTGGAAGAGGTCCCGTTCCTGCTGTACTCTGCTCTGAACTGGGTCCATCACGCGAGGGATGCGAATCCGGAGCCCGACCGTGGCAGTCTTGACGACTTGATTTTCGCCTTGCTCCATCGCGATGGCGACGCTTACGTCAACTGGCACCGCGTGACAGGCCGCCATGGGCCTGCAACGCCAGTGGAGGGTTATGCATGGAACATTCACATCAGAGACGGCAGTAAACTTATTAATGACGGTCGGCCAGCCCCCAAGGAACAACTGCTAAACGGTCACCACATTGATCGTCCGCTCCACCACGCAATACAGTGGAACCTGTGGCGCGTGATCGAGCGTCTTCTTAATGCTGGTCATGATCCCAATGGTTACAGTAAAGGGAACCGCGCTCCTCTTCACTACGGCGTACTACAACGAGCTCTGAAGTCGATGGATCTTGTTCTCAAGCATGGCGGGAACATTGACGTCCGCGACTGGATCGGCGACACCCCGGCCATGTTTTGCGCTTACAAGGCTAAAGATCCAGTGACGATGGAGTGGCTGATGGACCGCGGCGCAAGTCTCTCCCTCGTCAGCAGAAGATCTGGCAGTCTGTTATAATGTGCAGCTATGGAGGGTGACCCAGATGTGTTGGAAGTGATCTTGAGGAAGAAAGCACCCAACATATCGCCCGACATTGGGGTTGATCATAACTATAACGAAATCGCTGACCTGGCCACACCACTTCAATGTGCAGCATATGCAGGAAATTTGGCATGCATCGAGCTACTGCTAAAATACGGTGCCGACATCAACTTCAGTGAAGGTAAAGTTGGGACATCCCTTCATGCTGCAGGTGCTTCAGGAAACTTGAGTGCATTTCAACTCTTGCTGGAGAGGGGTGCGAATCCCAACGTCGTCCGTGGACAATACGGGAGTGTTCTTTGGGCTGCTGGGTACGGTGGCGACCGTGAATGCGTTCGCATTTGTCTGCAACGGGGACTGTCTGTCGACGGATTGAATACCATGCGTTTCCCCTCTGGGAAGAAATGGCAGGACTTTTCTCACGATGAAGAAGAGGCTCTCGTGTCTGAAATCATCAGAACTGCAGGAGATCGCTACTGCCGAGACATCTTTGACGCAGCCCGATCAGGAATGACTTTGGGTGTCAAAGCATACCTCGATGGCGCCAAGGATCGCAAGGCTGAACTGGAAAGGAAGCACGAAATTCACATGCGGACGCCCCTGCTGTGGGCTGCGGCTGAGGGTCACATCGAAACGGTGAAGTACTTGGCAATGGAGGGCGCGAATCTTGACGTATGGGGGAGAGGTCTTGAGACGCCGCTCGAGTTTGGTTGCCTTGCTGGTCGCTTGGACATGGTAAAGTGTTTGTTGGCTTTAGGAGCAAGAGCCGAATTTCGGCAAGCGGGCAAGTATCGAACGGCGGTTGTGTGTGCTGATATCAGTGGCAACAAGGAGTTGGTTGAGTTCCTGAAGGCACTGGAGGAGGATCGGACTGCGACGTTCGAGTTTGAGGGGCAGGATTACGAGTATGATGGCGATAAGCACTACAAGCTTATCCTTTGATGAAGTTCAATAAACCCAACTGGGAATCTAGCTGGTCCGGAGCAGAATGCAGAGCTGTTGAACTTGACGTCGGGGACAGGACCGTCTGGACCCCACATCGGCGTGATGAAACCGGAACGTCTCCACATCGGGACGGTTAATGTGGAGATGGCACGGAGTGAATGGGCCCGAAGTGCCGGTAATGAGGATCGGGAACATGGGCGGAAGGAGCGGCGGCCCTGTTCCATCTTCCATTACCAAAGTTTCCTCCTCTACGGAGTATCCCATAACTTGAATCCAGTGATATGGTAGAAATATCCGAACCCCGTCCAATTCCCACTTGCTAGCGACCCCATGTCCACTGTGACTTGCAGCTCGTTTGCTGCCAGAGAGCGGTGGTTTAATGGAATGGCTGGGTAATTTCCCCGGGGCAGGTAGGCGCAGACCCATGAGAACTCAGAAGAGACCAAAAGCATGTCATGAAGCATCCAAGGATGACCTTGAAAGAGGAAAGGGGCAGGCGGATAGTTTGAAAACAGTCGACGACACGTCCTTTTCCCTTAATGATTCGTCTGTTAAAGCCTGCAGCCATCTAAGAACGGAACAGGGCAGCATCGTCCACTCGGCGTGGCACCCCGGAACCAACTCCAAGCGATTCGCGAAACTGGGAACTGAGGATACATCCCACTCATCCCGCCTGATTGGAGCTTCCCGGGTCCCGAATGTGTATGAACACCGCAAGGTATCGGTGATGTGGGCAGACGAATCGACAATGGCGGAGGTTGGGCGACGTTTGGGCGCAGCAGGTGAGAGTGCGAGTATCCGCAAAGTTGAAGGTGAGTGGACCCCCAGCCACTGAATTGTCGACACCCGAAGGCGCGCGAAGACGGGCGCCCCGCCGAGCTGGGCGACACCACAGCAGCGCTGCACGTAATTAAATGTGGTGCGATTTAAGTGGACGTGGGAATTTGTTAGTGCTCTTCCCCGTCCCAGCCACTCTGAATCTTTACGAACTCACCCAGAGTTGTCAAACCCTGAAATGTCCGAGAGCCCAAATTCTTCCGCTCGGGGGCATTGAGGAATCTGTATGTGCTCACTGTCTGTTCTTCTTTTTTCCTCCTTTAGGTTCGGATAGCAGCCATCTTTCCCTCCTCTCGTTAGCTTCCGCGTCTGGCGAGATCTTGCAACAGCGCTTTTTCTTCTGTGTGTTGGCATCGTCTGAGTTGAGACACAGACGCAGACACAGACATAGAGAGACAGACCGCCCCTCACTCTCCAACGGTTCCCAACGGTCACTGCCCACCTTACCTAGTTCATCTTGAATTGTCTTTTCAAGATCGATCTCACTTCACGTCAAACCTGTCAAACACTAAACCCCAACGTCAACTCATTCGCACATCACCAACCTCACTCACCAGCCAACCACCAAATCTACAACCATTCCGCCCCAACGCAACCCCGCCGCCGCAAGAGACGTCGACCCCGTCTCGTTTGCCATCATGGCCATGGGACTCCAACAGCAGCAACACACCCAGGGCTCGCCGCCCATCCACTTCCCCGGTGACTTTGTCGAGTACGGCCAACAGTACGACAACAACAGCGGCAACCACAGCGACCCGTCTAGTTCGCAACAACGTCAATCCCGCGGCGAGGGAGGCAGAAACGGCCGGTATCGAAGACCCCGTTCCCCTTCCCTCGACGACGATTCCCGCTTCACTACCGGGCCCAGCGGCGGTGAAGATCCGCGGGCCAGCTCAGACGCTGCGCTGCATGACGCTGTGCTCGCGCAAGCGCCCCATCAACAGGTGAGTTAACAGATGAAAGTTCAATAGGGGAAATTCTGAAGGAGGGATCGATCGGATTGAGAAGAAAAAAAGCAATGGCTCGGCGAAACACGCACCAGCCACGCTCAATTTCAATACACCTCAACCACCCACCCCCTTATCTTTCTCTCACCCCAGCACTCAAGAACTCACTTCATCCAACTCACCTCACCTCATCTCACTTCCACTCCCAAACTCACTCACTCCAACTCATCTCACTAAAGGGCGGCTTTTGAGACCGCCCTCCCCAAAACACCCTGCACACAAAATCACAACCACAACGCACACGCACACACGCACATACACAACCCGCATCGGAAGCGAAAAAACCATCTGACCGCAATGCAGCAGCGCGTAATTCCAACAAACGGTCGCAACGGAGGCCAACCCCGCGCCGCAGGCCCTCGTGCACCCCCCGCCGCCGCAAACGCCTCCCAGAACCGCCGCTCCCAGCCCCCGCCAGTCAACTCCCAGCTGCCGCCCTACATGGGCGAGAACCTCGACGAATGGAGCCCGTCAAAGGACGCGGCAGCAGCAGGGGCAGGTACGGGCGGCTACTCCCGCCGCCGCACAGAGCGCCACGCCCGTCGCCAATCCTCCACCGGAAGCCGCGCCCCGGGGGCCCCGGATCCGCCTCAGATGAGCGGCGGCGCGTCGCCCCGCGAGCCGCCCGGAAGCCAGCACTCTCCTAGGGATAGATTGCCTTCTCAGCAACTACAGCAGCAACAGCAGCAGCAGCAGCATATGCCCAACCCGGCGGGCGGTCTCCGCCCTCCGTCCCCGCCGGCTGTTAACGAGAGCGTCCTCAGCGACATCAGCCGCGTCAACAGCCCCAGCATCTCAAAGAGCGTCCTCGAGCCCCTTCAGCGCAAGATGCTCGAGTACCACCGCCTCATGGACGAAGCTCAGGGCCAAATGGCGCAGTACGACGAGGAGCTCCGCCTCCTGCAGGAACGCCGGCGCCTAGCTGAGCAGCGCTTCGTTGATGCCAAGGGCAAGCACGACGAGTATGAGCGGCAGCACCTGGACGTCGAGAGGGCTCTGCGCGGTGATTATGCGCCGCCTCAGCAGCAGCACCAGCAGCAGATGATGCCGCAGCAGAGTCAGCAGCAAATGTATCAGAACAGTCCGCCTCGGACGGTGCCGAGACCGGCGTCGAGTATTATGAGCTATGATGATCGGCCGATGAGCGGGCAAAGCTCGGGTCCAAAAAAGGGGAAGCTGAGGTTCAGTTTGTTTGGGAGGTAGATGTGTTTGGGAGACTGGGGACGTTAGATTGTGTGTTATTTGGGTGGATAGAGCGGCTATAGAGGCTTTGGTCGTACTTCTTTTGTGTTAATATTTTAGGAATGGGGGGTTTGGGATGGAGGACAAAGGGGCTGTCATGTTTGGATGATGGGATGTAATGACAGGAGCAACGTACAATGGTATATCAAAGATTGTGTTTCATGGCAAATGTTCTCCATTGTTCATTGTGTTTTTTGTTTCCTCGAAGCCGGTCGCCCTGTTGAAGCTTCTTCATAAACGACGATCCCGCGAGCCAGCCATCGGTCTGCTCCATCCCGTTATAGCAGCTTCTCTGCACATGCTTGCTCCAGATTCTCATGAGGTTTCCAACCAGCCAAGCTCTCAAAGCAACTTAATGAGAAGAGACCACCACATTCCTCTCAACAGAGCTCGCAACTATGCAGTCGCGTGTTGTTTGTTGCCACAAACATCTTGGTATGCCTGTACAAACTACCCCTGAGATCGCCTTTCATCCAAGCGTGCTCCTAGCTACAAGACTCGACCCATACGGATAGACGCCTCGAAATAAGAAAATCTCATGCACACATACTTAGCATTCTCAGTTGGACGTCTCCTTCCCTCACTCTCATAGGTGGAAAGTTTCTCCGAGTCAGAGAGCTTCGGATGAATATTCAGGTGAACATGTCTGCTCCCGCACCTCCAACTCGAATATCCAATCAGATGCCCCGCTTTCCGTTTGCAAATGCTTCCTTCCTTCTCTCACTCACCGCACTCCGACATATTTTCTGACCGCTACATCCTTCTTTTTCTTTCCACTTGAGTCGCGGAAAAAATATCATGATCTGCGCTGCGCCGCTCTCACACTCGTTACTTAACCTCATCGCGACACGGTCTTCTCGCTACTCGATCCCATGGATGAAGTGGCAGCAATCATGGATCAACCCAAGGAACCGGACAAAATTCGCATTCGCTCGGTCAATCCGACCGCTAAATTCCCACCCAGCCTTCTGAAGCAGACTCATCGCGAGCTGGTCCGACTGTACGAACTTCACGGCGAGACCCTGCTCACCTACTGGAAGGGACTTGACCGAACTGGACGAGAGTTTGTGTTGAGGAACAGCTCCGTATGCCGCATCCTGAGCAACATCACATCACCTGGCACCGGGTTTGCTCACTTTCTCGGACCCGAGTGGAATCACGATTCCATTACCAACCCAGACGACAATTTCTTCGCCGACATCCTCAAACATCGCGCCACGTCATCTCTCACAGAACAGTACAACAATGGCGCGAATGGCGCGCAAGGCGACTGCGACTTCACTTGCGAGAGATTCGCCGACCATTTCGCCCCATGTCTGGTCCAATACGAGGGTAATATCATGTTCTTTGAGGACTGTGAAGAGTATCCTCGCACTGTCGACATCGTCGTCTACTATCAAGCCATGACCGACATGAAAACAGATCACACTCTGTGGGTACCCGAACCCGTTGGTGAGCTGATCGTAGCGAGACAGATGTTCTGGGTAGAAACCCTTCATCGGGCCGTCGTCTTCATGCTCACAGTCCTGGCCACCGATCAGAAACACCCAAAGTGCACATGCCATGAACACGACAGTGGAAAGGCCCATTCTACAACGGATCTTCCCAAACTCACGCCCACCAGCGACTCCGGCCTAAGACCCTTCATCAACTTCACCAAGGCTGAGGAAGATGAGACGGTGGTCTGGTCGCAAAAGGTCCTGTCAAAGCCTAATATTCTCCTGATGGAGGCTACGAACTAGTGGCTCAGCCTCCCAGAGAGAGTCCCAGACGCCGGCGGACACATACTAAGCGTGGAGGAACTCGACAAGTACGTCGGGCACTGCATTCTCGACCCTTATTACGCCGCTGAGAAGGACGCAAACACGTCTTACTACATCCGCGTCCTGCTTTGCGCCATACACACGCTGGACCACTCACGAAAGACGACCAAACGGCGTGAGTTCCTGCTACAGGAGCTGGCCAACGTACTTCACCTCAAGTTCCTCAAAGTTTTGGAGTGCGTCAAACGGTGGATCCAGTGCGGCAAAGCCGAGAGGCACTTCAAGCGCGTCCCAAACACCTACGACCACTTGGGCAGCGAAGTTGTTGTCCTCAAGGATCGAGTCATCGACAACAAGAATCGCAAGATGTATTACGGTATGCAACTTTGCAAGCCAGGACTGACCCACAGACAGGCCGCGTTCTGGCTCACGAAGCTCGCTCCTTACTACAAGAACAGACGTCCAGGCTACGTGACCTTGGTCCCTGAGGGTGTCGAGCTATCTGACTTCCATACGAGCATCAACTTCTCGAACCTCAATCTGCTCGTGAGCTTCATCTCCGACCTAGACAAAGCCCTAAGCCTCCCACCTGTGAGCGACACCAAGGGGCAGCTGTACATCTCACGCGTCAATCAGCTGGAAGCCGACCTCGCCATCGTCAAGAGAAACTTAGACCTCCGCAGGATCGTACCCGACATTGACCAGCTCGCGGACCCTCTCGTCTCTTCCGCGGCGAAGGATGAGGTTGCCGGCGCAATCGAGAAGAAGCTGGGTACCTGCCTTGCAGACCACTACTGGAACCTAGTGCAGAGCTGCGTCGACAACTTCCCCGATCTCGGACACTATGAGAGCAGCAGAGTGAGCTTTGACGTCTGCTTTCCAAAGTCGACATGCAAATGTGACTCGGGGGCATCGACTGAGCCTGCCAAGAAGAAGAAAAAGCGAAAGCCGAAGAAGAAGAAGGCGAAGCAGATCTTGGAGCAGTCCGATGACCAGCAGGAGTTTGAGGATACAGATGCCTTGGCCGTCGAAGATCTGAGTTCCCTGTTGCCGTCGTCGAAGGCTGAGGGGAACTCTTCATGTGATGAGCTCGGGACTACCATGTCCGATATACCCTCCTTGAATGAGCCGGCGCTCGATCTTCCCGCTGGCAGTGTCTCTCTCGATGCTTCCAAGGACTCGGACAGCTCTGAGTCTGACCTCGCTGACTCTGAGGTGCAGGCTCTTTATCCCTGGGTCAACTTCCCTCAACCCTCAGCTAGCGTTTCCGATGATGCAACTACGCCCACCGAGGCTAGCTTCGGCGATTCTCTTCACGAAGATGGCCAGAAGGATGAGGAAAACGATGGAGATGACGAGGAGCAGGATGGGAGCGAAGATCAGGACGAGGACGAACAGGAGATCGTGGAGGGTCCACGGAACCAGGATGACAGCCTTTTGGCCAAACCTCACACCGAAGACGAACTCCCTACTCCTGCCCAAGATGTGATCTACGTCAGCGCCCGAACCGCGACAGTCATGGCAACCATGTTCGACAAGTCCCTTCACCAGGGCTCCCTCACCTGGCCCGAGTTCACGGCCGCCATGGTCGAAGTCGGCTTCACCGCGGAAAAGAGAAAGGGTTCCGCACTCGCATTCGTGCCCGTGCCGTTGGAAGACGGAACCAGTAAGTGGAATCAGGCGATTCAGTTCCACATCACTCACGGCAGCACGTCGTCGAGGGTCGAGGGGTATCGGTCGCGCAAGATGGCTCACAGATTGACGAGGGCTTTTGGATGGAATGCGAAGACGTTCCAGATTGCTTGATTGCTGGATGGCATGAGGCGGTATTGTGAAACGGGCAGCGAAACCATGCGGCTTCTAAGATTTTGCTTCTTTGCTGTATTGGAGAAGGCTCCGGGGAATTGCGAGACGTGCGACATAGAGCTGAGGGGGGGTTGATATCGTTCTTGGATGCTGGCAAGGACACGATTTTGAGACTTTGGCATTGTTTGCACATGGTTCCGATTTTGTTTCTCCAGCATTCTTGGTTTGTTTGACTATTGCTGGGCATCAATGGCCCCTGATTTGCTTCATTTTTGTACAGTCGCTTTCTGAATTGACACTTCTCTTCTCGTAAATTATTTCATTGTTTCCGTGTGTTTTGGATATCCCTTCTATTTTAATATGCACAACAGCATATTTCTCAAATTGTTCAAAACCAGAAGAACGCAATCAGAACTCGGATGATGGGTGCCTTTGATCCCTGAAACCGTACCGCACGACTAGGCAGACTCTATCCCCCCGGGGCCCAGAGACGGCTGTCCATACGGACTCTCTACCCGCGTGTAATAGACGCTGAACTGCTGAGGAATCAAGAAGCTCCGAGTCCGGACTGCGAGTCCCGTGTCCCGTTCATTCGGACAAGACATTAAAGGCGTTCCACGGGTCGGAGATCAACAAAGGCTATTCTCGAGCACACCTGAAAAGCGATGAAGACGAAGCCGGATGCGACCAAGCAGTCGAAGGAGTGACGGGCAACGAGCCACTCTCCCCGCCTCCCTCTCCAACAGGGAACTTCTATTACAGGAATTCGTGTGCAAGGGAGTTGATCGCCTGCGGGAGTACGGGCCCTACGGGGGTCAGTCGCAAGTCTCTCACGAAGAAGTATGAGGCCTTGGCTCCTGCCTTCGCTTATCACACGTTCAACTCCCTTCACCACATCTATAAAGTTTCAAGGTGAAAAATGGTACATATGAAAGGAAAGTTTTATATTTAACTTTTTTAGCTAATCCTTTTTCAGCACATTCTTCGTCCTGAATGTTCTCAAGAAAAATGGCTCCCTTGCAGCTATCTTCTCATATCTACTTACCAAAACCAGTGAGTTAGTTCACTCTCAATACAATTTACCTCGAATTCCTCGAATTCAACGACTAATGAGGCTTCGATTAAGTAATTTTCCTTCCTTTCTATGACTTACGTACGTGAAGCCGGGCCCCGGTGTTATGCAGGGAGAGGGCGTTCGACCCGGCAAACAAGTCAACGTCGGTTTTCGGGTTCTCTACAAGCGAGTCAACTCATCAACTCTGTTCGGTTCGCTGTCTGTCGGAACGTACTTTCCCGCTTAAGATTACATATATGTCAATAATTTAATATTGAGTGGAGGGAATGCAACCGCCAAGAGCAATTGGGCTCTCTCACTGCCCAGATATCGAGGCTTCCCTCATAATAATTGCAAGAAGCTGGCGATTGGGCGAGAAGCGACGGGCCCGCGCTCAGCAAATCGGCCAATAATACCTTCAGCTTTCACCTCAATTTCAGAGGCCGGCCTTGGAGTGAAAGAGGGCTGATCATTCTGAGGAGGATAAGTTAGAATAACATGGAGGTTCCTCGGTCGTTCTCAGCATAAAGACGCGATCCCTCTCTTCCGACCTTTTCTCACATGCCTATGTGTTGGAACAGCAAAGGCTGATAAGGAGTAATAGGCAGGTACCATGGGCTGGCTGGCACCTGCCCTGGGCGAAGTGGGACAACTGGCTTAGTCATCACGGCCGGATAAAGGTGGGGCAACCACCCAGGCCGTCACTACCTACTTCGACCGACTCCTGCCTACAATGTAAGATAGAAAAACAAGAAGAACAAGCAATAGGATCACCAACAGACGAGTGATAATTGCTACCACTATTTGTCGCATACGACCCCGTGGAACCAACACTATGAGTTATTGAAAATCCCCGCGCGCATATTCGATGCAGGGTTTAGGAGACGACAACATCGAAAGGCTAAAAGTGTAAATAGAATTTGAACGGAAGTCATAGAACCAAATGTACAAAACTCTCAATGTTAAATAAGTATTGAAATCTGGGCATCTCATATCATGAAGCAACCTGACCCTGCGCGATACTTATGCGGTCTTTTAAATTACATCCGATGCCTTTCTCCCGAAGTAAGGACGTCCACATGCTTAATCAACTAATTTCGTATTCAACAAGTTCAAAAGGTACGAATCTCTGCTTACCCGGGTCCCCTTGGCCCTGATCGATTCACCCAGCCAGACCCCGGGAAGGTTTCGGCTCGACACGATGGACGAGGAGCTTTTCCTCGGCATCATTAAACGCAACTTATAACCTATAGTTACGCCGCACTATAAATAACATCTAAGACCCATAGTCTTTAGATCTCCTAGCACAATAGCTTACGGACTGTCTTATTAAAGCACTTACGGCTTCTATAAAGCGCACGCTCGGGAAAGGTATAGGGAGACCATATTAGAACGAAAGCTGTACACATAAACACCGAGCCTATATAAGTAAGCGAGCGATATTAGTAAGACTCCGCGCAGCCGGAGTGAACTGCTAATAGGAAGAAGAGGAGGTCGAAGCTCTAAAACAGGACTTCTTTTACGAGTTTAAACGCTCCAAGGATACCTTTTAGAAAGATAAGATCTCCTTAGCCTCCTCAAGTAAAGACATATTTAAAATAGTCGGTTAGTATAAACGCATAGGATCCTTTCAAACCCCGCCACTCCGAGATGTAGACAACCAAGACACGCTTGTCTCACAACCAAAAGAGAAGCGCGACTTATTTACCTACGTCCTCCTTAGAAACGCTGCAATCTCCGAGGACATACCAATAGAAAGCCTAGTCTTATAAAGGCAAGCTACGCTTCCTTTCCCGTAAATTTTGTTACAACCCAACATGCATAACAAGGCCAGGGGGCCCGCCCCACAGGCCTGCGGCGGCTATCTACCTGATATACGCAGAGAATCCGGGAACTCAGGTGACTCCTCATGGAACGGAAGAACTATGGAACAAGTCACGTGACGATAAGGAAAGTGAGCACACGATAAGGTGATTACAGTGATCACCCAAAGTGAGCACACGATAAGGTGATCACAGTGATCACCCAAAGTGAGCGCTCACCAGTATCCACTTAGTGATCACCAACGAACATGGTGACCAGGCAACAAAGGATATGTTCAGGATCAGGACTTGTATATAGGATGGACTCGAGCCGGGCTCTAGGACAGACTTCCCATAGCTTCTTCAGCAATTAACTTCGTATCAGGATTAACATCCGCTTTCAGCTACTACCTTGACAAGACTACGATTGATCACCGAAGCCTTACCTGCCCTTACGATTGACAGACATAGTTTCCTTGAAACTATTCCACGACTACGATTACTGTTACCAGTTCCGCAGCCTCAACTTCTGCAAACTACCCCTACGACTAGCTGGCCGTAACATATAGTAAAAGTAGCTTAACGTACCTGCATAGCGAGCGACGCATCATAGCGAGCGACGCACTCTCTCAAACCTTTCTACCTTATGTATAAGTTAACTTAGCCACAACGTACGAAATCAATTAAAACTATATATCACCCTCTTCCTCATTACTATCCCAAACCACTTCACAGGTTCGTGCGTTATGTCCAGGCTTCCCGCAATTACCACATCGTCGCGCGCGTGGTTCAGCACCTTCCGTACGACCCTCCTTCTGAGGGTTATTCTCTCCTCCAGCATTAACACCACCCTTCTCTACTTGTAGTGCCTCTGCTTCAGCACTATTAAGTGACCCTCCAAGACGTAGCCGGGTCTTTTTTGCCCTCCGGCGCTTACTTAGTACCTCTATCCCCGTACGAAGCTTACGGTTCTCAGCCTCAATAATAGCAAGCCTATGGGCTAACTTGCTAATACCTCTGGCCTGGAAGTCAATTACTTCGTACATTGCTGTTGGTGAGCTACCTTGATGTGCTTGGATCTTCCTTTTAAGGGAGGTAGCACTTCGTACGCCCTCTAGTGCTGTAATTGGTGTCCTTGGGTCCCAGGAGCCTTGGCTGCTTGGCCGTGAGTTTGATGGTGTTGGCGTCTTTGGCTTGAAATCCAAGCGAGAAATAACCACTTCAGGGTTAAAAGGTACAAGGCCTGCCTGCCTAAAACCAGCTCGTACGTTATTTTCGCCCATGGAAGTAAAGAATGCTGCTTTAAAGGCAGGAAAGAAGTCATCCTTTGTACTATGGGAAATCTGTATCCGCATCATCTTCTCGATTTCCTTGCCGTACGAGTACTTTAACGGGCTAAAGCACCCAACATCAAGAGGCTGAAGCTCGTGTGATGAATGGGGAGGCATACAAAGAGCAATAATGTTTTGTTCCTTGCAGTATTCGTCAAAGTCAGTCGATTTATGGCTATTATGGCCATCAAGGATCAAGAGGCGATAAGAGCCCTTCGTACGAGTCCTTGTACACTGATTAAAGTGCTTTAGCCAATCTAGGCCAATATCATTTGTCGTCCATCCATTTTCGCTTGGATGGATACGCCATGTGGCTGGAAATTGGCCATGAATATACCACGAGAGGAGGTGATATTTGCCCTTTACGATGACGTACGGAGGCAGCGCCCAGCCATCCGCACATACACCCTGAATGACAGAAACCCATTCTCGATTGCCAGGCTGTTTCGTACGAGGCCTTCCCTTACGGTCAGAAGTCGTAACAACCTTTGCGTGCGATAGCATTCCCATCAGGAAACCAGTCTCGTCAAAATTATAGATATCGTTATCCTGTATCCCATACTTTGCAATTGTGTTTCGCACAAGTGCAAACCAGCCTTGTATAATCGTAGGATCCTCAGCTAAGGCCCTCTGATAGTCGATTCGACGTTGAAACCGCATTTTCAATTCAGGGACGCGTCGTACGAAGTTCTCTGCCCATCGCGGTCCAGTACGCGTCCCATCGCGTGCGTTTAGGAGTTGGTCGGCCATTTCTCGTACGTCTTCTTGTCGCGGAGGGAACCCTCGATCGATTAGGTCAATAACTCGTTCAAGAATCACCTCCTCTTCTGTTATAGTCATCTTCATCGAATTTGGTCGTGTTTCACCTCGTGCGACGCGTCCAGCGCGTCGGTGGCGGAGGGTTGATTCAGGGACCTCATAGATAGAGGCAGCTCTTCGTATAGACATTTTCGGGTCTTTTTCAATAGCTTGGAGGGCA